ATAGTGTCAATCCCTCCAGGAAGTACAATGAAGGCTTCCACAATATGATTCATCTCGAAATACTTATAGTAATTGCTGGAGACGGTGTACTCCGCACCATATGTTGGTCCATAGACCCCTCGTGTTGCTATATACCCTGGTATGAAACCTCTGACTCTACCACCATTATTATAGACCGTTGAAGCTACAGCTCCTTGAAGGCCAACGTTGCCTCCTCCGTAGGTAAGCCTGATTTTTCGCCTTACCAATTCCCGTCCTAGATCAACCGCAGTAGCCATGAACCTTGGATTGCTACCAAGAGCATGACTACCAAGTAGACCAACGAATCTTATGGTATTAGAAAGAGCTCGAGAAGTTCCTTCCATAATGTGTGTGTGAGACGCTCTTGCCACAATTCGATATATATAGACTCTGAAACTGGACCATTGATGGAAAAGTAATTATCACCAGCCCAAAAACATAGTACAGGAAAGTGGATTCGTTCCAGACAAGAATGTACTCGCCAATACTACAGTTTGCTGACGACATGACATATTGAGACTCATGAATAGTTAGGCTCATTATCCTGAAATACATTCAAATCCGAGACCAAGAGTCAAAGTGGTTATTTACCTAAGACAATGACCCCTTGAGTAAATTCCAAAGAGTGAAACATTAGAGAATGAAAACCTACGATTTACCATGATAATCGCAATCTTGTGAGTTATATCCTTGAAATATTCAAACTTGTTGTGTTAATTACACACTTGAAGCATCTCACTTGATCAATCTTGAAAAGATTGAATTCCATTTTCTGTATCAAATCATTGAGAACTTGTTTTAACTCATAATTTTCCATCAAACCAAAAAGATGTTTTATGATACTTATCTTCAAAAAAAAAACGCGCATGTGTCTGTAGAATCCCAAACATATTAGAATATGACTATGTGTGTAACTTATCATGTTTTTGATAATAAGTAATGCAACTGTTGTGTGAAGTAAAAATATTAGTGATATGACGAGTACACTAGTATTATAATTTTCGAGCACGAAGCTCTATCATAATTATTGAGAAAGTCTGAAATTCCAAGGTAATTCTGGAATCATCAATCAGAAAATCAGTATTCAAGAATGACTACATATCATCTTGAAAAAACAAATAGTGACAAATAGCAAGTGCTATCAAAACGTTCATTCAATCATTACGATATGATAAAAACATATATTATTGTTATACATAAGTGTGATATATTTGTTAACTGTTACAAACAAGCTTTAATCAGCTTATTGACATTACGTTAGTCCGAACAACTCTATTAAAGATCGCTAATGAGAGTTCAAGTTCTCAAACTATAATTACATATTCATCTAAGAAACTTAGAATGATGACTATGGTAATAGTCATTCCTCAAAATACCTTTATGTAAAAACATCAAACCTAGAAACAATTCATTCCAGATTGTACACAATGAAGCGTAATTTGTGAAACCAACATTCCAGACAAACTCTGAGAATGATTCTCAAAGAATTTCAGAAACGGAAATTTTGTAAATTACCCCACATTCAAGAAACGCAACCTATACTCCTCTAACACGACAAGAGCAAGTCTAAGAGTATATTCGACGCAAGTCTCCATGAAAGGAATTCAAACACGTTACATCTATCATCCGCATATATCCTTTCTCGAAAGAGAACATGTATGTCATACTCATGACACTCAACAAAACAAAGAGAAAAACAACTTTTCAAAATTGGTGTTTTATAAAAACAATGGATATTCATGATTTTATACATCATCATTTTAAATGACTTCACCTAAGGAAATTTTGGGGGACGAAATTTCTTTAAGGGAGGAAGAAATGTAACGCCACAAAATATGGCCTAAAATTTATTATAAAACAAAAGTAGTTTTTGTCCAATAAAGAATATTTATACGTTTGACCAAAAATAAATGGATTTCCAAAATAATGACTTTTTGTTAAAAACTTAATTTTATGGATATGTCTCGAAGAGACGAATCCAACGGTACATTTTATGAATCAATCTGATTTATAGATTTCAAGTTATGACGATTTTAAATATTAAAATTTGTAACTTTGACCCATAAATTTAACTTAATTCAAAAGTGATTTCATAAGATTAAAAATCTTAATCTTTGACACTTGACAACACCATATTCATCATTGGAATATAATTCACATATTTTTATCTCATTCATATTATAAAATTAATTTATGACAAAGACAGACCCATACATTAAGAAAAATAAAAGTTATCAGAAAAATATTTTGATTATGTCAAAATTCTAATTTTGACTGTCTCATTTCAAAAACACAATTCGTTTTCAATTCGGAGCAGTTTGGACGAAAAAGCGCGTACCATTTGGAGTAAATTGTTCAGTTTTTGCATAAAGTCAAAACTTTATTTACCAAATAACGTAGCCAATCTTGGAGATACTCACAAGTCACAACCCCAATTTTCAACCCTCCAACCACTAACACCCCACTAATATAATAACGCCAAAGCCTTTTTTGTGTATTTCAATACTCCACCACCATCTTCATCATTATACATCATCACCATCATTCATCCATCCATCTCCTCTCCATCCCTCTCTGTCGGCAGCAAGCCAAGGGAGAAATGCACACCAACTCCATGAATATATGCTAAGGAAGAAGGAGAAACAAGCAAGAAACCATCCAAAGTTTCCAAAATCCTGAGCTCAAACACAGCAGCCCACTTCTAGGTAAAATATGAAATTTTTCATCCATTATCTCGAAATACTTTCTGAGCCAAAGTTGTAGCCCCGGACGATACGAATCCAGCCCAACAAACGGCTCGCGATTTCGTTAAGTAACGAAGAAGATATGGCCAAAATACCGGGACTGCGCCAGTGGTGGCGAGCTCCTCGGGTTGAACCATGTTTCTTCACCATATTCATGTTGTTCCATTCCAAATACTTATCATAAACTCTCTAACGATTATTAGAATCATCCGGAAGGTATCGTAGAGAAGGTTTGGTGTTGGAATATTGAAGTTAATGAGTTAATCTTCGGAATCGTTGTTCATCGACATATCCGAAATCCTGGACAAAAACTATCCTTTGATTTCAGGTCCGATTTACGCTATTTTACATCTCTTAAATCGAAATACTTTCTATATGAAAGTTATAGCCTTACATCTTAGGAATCCACTAAAATCAAACGGTTTGCAATTCCGTGAAGAAACAAAGGAGATATGCCCAAAATACCGCAGGCTGTCCAATTGTGACGAGATTGACAAAGTTGGTGAATTTCGATGTTGTTTCCACTCCCGCTCATCCGTAAGGTTTCGACCGATGATTTCCAGGTCTGTACATTTGCGTTAGACTTGTCGAATCATTCATCACAAACGTACATGAACATATATGTTAATCCATATGTTGAAATTATCCCAAAATATATATGTGATGCATATATAAGTCATCTATATGTTAAGATCAAAATACACCAAATCTATAAGGTTAATATACACATAAGTAAATATAAACTTTGGAAATCGACCCTACAATATGTATATTTCAATTAAAGGTGTTTAAAAGACTTAAAGAAATATTTTGGACCCTCAAAATATCAAGAGTAAGACTCGCATACTCAAACGGTCGACGCAAACGGTCGACCGTCGTGATAAAACTTCGAAACGAACAATGACTGTCAGCCAAACGGTCGACCGCGGTTGACTGACGGTCGACCGTCGCCCAGCCTAGAACCGCCGTCGCCACCCAGTCAACAACGGTCGACCGCCGGTCAACCGCGGTCGACCGTCACGGTGATCCGCCAATCCGACCTGATGAAGATCAAGGTCGACTGTCGCGCCAAACGGTCGACCGTTCCAAGCCCCGTAGCTTAATTAAATAATATTTTTATAAGATTTCATCCAAATAAAATAAAGTATATTTATCCATTCATATTGTTTACAAATTGTTCATATCATATGACTCATATCATCACACATATTGTAGCATATCATATCATGTGCATGCGTAAGAGATCA